TACTTATATTCTTATAATAGGACTTATAGAAGAATGTAATACCTTCCCTCTGCTCAATTAACAAAGCAAAACTGTTATAAGGAATGTCAGATAGTAATTCAGAGGAACCGAGTGTTCTCCGTTTCTTAATTTTGGTGTCAACTTGTGATATCTTGAAGATAGACCAAATCTAAAGACTTTTTTGGGATCTAAAGAAAAGAAAGCTTTTATTTTATCTGAAAATGTATTTGTTTGTTTAGTTTTTGTAAGACTCAGAACAGACGGAGGACAAAGAGGCTTGGACAGAGTGGCCTGACCAGCAGCCTTGATCAGATTTGGACGGTCAGGCCATGTGGCCCGTGGTGGCCGTTATTCTGACTTGTCACTCTGCTGGGTCCCTCAGTTGGGCCTGTTTGAACCTGGTTGGCTTGACATCCTGTAAAAACCTGGAGTTTCACCATAGAGTTTTTTTGGTTTCAGCAGCTGTTCAGTCAAACCCTCCTGAATTCTGTTAGGGGACCTGAGGTGTGAAAAGAAGCCTGAGGTGCCCTGGCCTGCCCAGGACACAGCCAACTGAAAAGACAAATCCGGACCCAGGTGGAGAGGGTGACAGGTCGCTAGGAAACTCCTTAAGCGTTCCCTGAGCTCTGAAGTTAGGCAGACGTGAGGTTGACTCCCAACAACTCTGTTACCTGTCCAGGTGACCATGGGGACGTCTGTCTCACCAGGCTGCCGAGAGGATTAAGGAGAAAGAGATACAGGCACCCGAGCCTGGGGCTCTGAGGCAGGGCTGTGTGGCCCTTGGCCTGCACGGATTTTGCAGTCGTCACAGGAGCTGTGTTGCAGGACGTGGCGCGGTTATGGGGCATCGGTTCCTTGCGTGAGGATTGTGTCTCGTCCCCAGGAACTGAGTCAGCAGACCAGGGTTGGAGCGCAGGAACCTGCGTTTTAAACCAGCACTACGGATACGGATGAAAGTGGAGTCACACTTTGCAAAATACTAGTATACTTTGGAGGTTAGTGGGTAGAAGCCATTTGACCCTGAAACTTTAATAGCTTGGGTGGGTGCGTTTTCCCGGCTCATCTTTTTACAGTAATCACTGTGGGGATCTAAGCATTGGCCACAACATTCTAATTAAGAAAAACCATTCAGGAATAGCAGTGTAAGCTTAGGTAAATAAAAAAATGTGCAGAAAGATGTTTGTCACTTACCATACGTACTTCACCAAAAAAGTGAGCTTAATGTTTGAAATAAATAAAAATAGAAACAGGAACTCCATTAATTAGCACATCGCTTTAAAGTTAATACACTTGGAGTGTGTCTTTACCAAAGGAAACAAATATTTAGAGACCAGGACGTAACACACACACACACACACACACACACACACACACACACACACAGCATTTCGCATTGTCCGTCCTATAGTTCAATCTGGGGGCCATTAATGAGAGTGATCTGGTTAATCTTAATTGTCGTGATGATATGAGAAGATGTGATCTCTGAGTTATTCAGACCACGTGGGGTAGGTTATTAAGAACCATTGTTAAGTCAGGGGACGGAGTGAGAAGGGAATGCAACTAGTCAGGCGTCCGGTTTCGGTATTTCCTGTTGTTAGCGCGAGAATGTTTCAGAACACAACGTACCTAATTTTCCCTCTGATACTCCTGTGGTATAATTTATATATACATATGTATCCACATGCACGCACATACTACGCACACACAGAGCCCTGCTTGATGGCCAAAAGGGAAGAGGCCCCAAGGGCTCTTTAGTGTACAATTAATATTTTGGTTAGAAAATCAGCAGATTGTTTCAGTATGGTTATGTGTGATGACATCATATTCCAGTAAAGTTATAATGAACAGAAATTTTGTTTGTCTCTGTGGCAAACCGAAATGAGTTTTGTAATTGTCAGCAGGCCAGAGTGATTACAGTGGCGCCCACTCCCTCTCCTGTAGTTAAAGGTCTGCTCGCATTCCACTCGCGGACCTCTGCTTTCAGCAGTGTGTAATTGACTGTAAACATTCGCTCCACGGGGAGAGCTGGCCGTGTAAGATCTCAGGAGTCCATTTCTGATTTCAGGTTGTCTGTTTTAAAAGGCTCGGTTGGTAGTGGAACCAGTTTAAAACATGCATCGAGCCCAGCCGGTGTGGCTCAGTGGTTGAGCGTCAACCCATGAACCAAGGGGTCCCTGGTTTGATTCCTGGTCAGGGCACATGCCCAGGTTGCAGGCTTGATCCCCAGTTGGGAGCGTGCAGGAGGCAGCTGATCTATGTCTCTCTTTTATCGTCGATGTTTCTATCTCTCTATCCCTCTCCCTCTCTCTCTCAAATTAATAAAAACATATTTAAAAAAACTTGAAGACCCTTCAGATCTTTCTGCTCTGTCTCACCTGTTCTTAAAACTTTCTAAGTGTTAACTTAGTCAATTCCCCCATTAGTGAAGTGCTCTTATTTAAAACAAACAAAACATGCATCGAATTCTGTAGAGGTGGGAAAATGAATTTTGTGGGACACAGAAATCACCTGCATCCATCCTATTAGTCTGTCCAAATTTCTGCATTAAAATAATTAAAAATGAAACAGGTAACAGGAGATTGCACTTTACTACACTAGTTATTGGAATCAAAGAGAAAAAAAAAGTGTGGTTTTTAATGCTTTTGAGTCTTTGCATGTTTTAAAAAAAATAGTCTGTTACGACAAGTAATTTTTTTTTCTTCCTTTAACTTTTTCATCTTTGCCAATTAAAAATGAGAAGGTATGACATAATAAAACACATTTAAAAATACTTTATCTTAAAAGAAATTAATGGGAAAACTGCGGGCCAAGAAAATTGACTCTAAGAATTGAAAACAGCGATTTCTCCCTCCTTCTCAGACTCTGGCTTTCTCCACTGCTAATTGCCTCCCTGACGGGGTGTTGTTTCTTTTCTGATTGCGGCCTGCTTTCATCGCCTTCACTGCCGTCTACTATTTCCCCTGCCTTTTGATCACCGGCATGAATCAGAGCCCAGCCTCAGGCTCTCTTTCTGGGTTCCTTTCTGCTTTCTTTTTCCAGGTGCTCATCCACTCACATGGTTTCAGTTAGTGCCAGCCTCCCACAGCTGTGGGGTCAGTGCCGACCTACACGCTCGCCCAGCACCTGCAGGAAGCCTTCACCATTAGTCCCATCTGCCCGCAGATCCTTACGGGATGAGCGCTGCGCAGTTGATCTCAGGTCGGATATAGCGTATCACTCCATGGATGTCCACTCGCCATCTGAAAGGACGAGGGCATCGATTGGACTTCTTTTTGCTGGGATACAGACATTTTTCCGCACTGGAGTGATTTTGCACTTCAGTTTTCAGCATTATTATAACGCACCATTCCATCCAAATCAGTCCTGTGAGTTTTGCTCACTCATCTGCCTTGACCTGTGCGTAGCGTTTGACACTCAACCCCTCGCTTTTCCATGATAGACTTTCCCACTTGGCTTCCAGAAAGGAGGACACCCTGCCTGCCTGGATTTCCTGTCTGGCTTTCAAGTCCTGTCTGGCTTTAACGTCCAGCGATACATTGAAGATTCCCAAATTTTATTCCCACCTTGGACCTCTTTTTCTAGAGTCCAGACTCATAAATCCAACTGTCCATTGGACATCTCCATGTGGATGTCTGACAGGCCTACTAACTTCACACCTTCAAACCAGAGCGGCTGACGTCTGCCCACCAGCAATCCCCTTCCTTGCCTCCGCTCTCCTATTCCGTAGCCAGTTCTTGGGCAAACCCTGTCTCTCTACTTTTGAAATTCACTTGGAATCCACTGCTCTCGTCACTTCTTCTGCTGTCACGTTCGTTCAGGCCTCGGTCATCTTTCCCGTGTTACTGTGCTAGTTTCCTAATAGATCTCCTGGCTTCTACCATCCTTCCCTATAGTCTGTTCTCTACGTAGTAGTTAGATGATCCTTCAAAAATGTGAGCCACGTCATGTCACTTCTCTGGTGGTGGCCATTTCACTCCATGAGTAGAAGTCAAGTCCTTACAGTGATTTCTAAGGACGTCCCTAAGCGACCTTGGCCACCTCCTCTTATCGGCTTCCCTTTCCTCTCTCCCTCGACTCTAAGAAGATGACCATACTCTGAGGTACTTGAACGTGTGTGGCATGCTGCTGCCTCAGGGCCTTCGAACTTGACATTGTCTGCTTCCTCTGCACCATCCCAGGGGATCTGCACGGGTTCCTCCCTCACTTATTTTAGGTCTTTACCCGGCTGTCATCTCAGTGAGGCCCTCCCTGGCCACCCCATCTAACACCCACCTCCCTGACACGTCTGAACCTTGGCCTCTTTAACTGTTTATAACAGGTGTCTCTAACATACTATGTTTTGCATATTTACCTTATTTCTTGTCTGCTCTACTTCAATGTGTGTCATTGTCACGCTCCCCTGTCAAATAATTGCTGTGTTAATGGATTTTATTGCATATCACCTTAATATTTTTCTTCTTGATGTCTTCTAGGTTTGTTCTTTCTTCTTACACCCTCTTTTATCGTCTCAAGTCCACATCACTGCAGCTCTTCAGTAGCTCTTCTCTGCCGTAGGCTCATTCAACTCAAACCTGCCAAAATCTTTACCTTAAATACATTTTATTATTATAATTTCTACCTACAAATTGGGTTAAACACCCTGTGCTTTTTGATGTTGAATCTGATCTTATTTCTTTGCAAAGTACTTATTATCACTTTGGAGGAGTAACTCCACCTCTCTGCCCTCCCATTTCTCATCATAACGATCTGCTAAAAGCACAAGAGTCTGCTTGTTGTCACCAGAATGGCCTTGCTTCTCGCCGTCCTCTGCGGTGGCTCCCGGCCTTCACCAGACCATTGGCCCACTCCTGTTAAAATCTTGTCTGAAAGCTTGAAGTTAAAATTTGATTAGGGTTCATACGAGGGCATAGTGCATTATCTGGTTGGTATCACTTTAAACAAAACAAATCTGATTATAGAGTGATTTTATCGGACTAACATTCCTATTTTCTTTTCTTTAGGTATCATTGCCCGATGCCTAAGATCTTTTACGTTCAGCTGACTGTAGGAAACAATGAGTTTTTTGGGGAAGGGAAGACTCGACAAGCTGCTAGACACAACGCCGCCATGAAGGCCCTCCAGGCGCTGCAGAACGAGCCCATTCCCGAGAAGTCCTCTCAGGTGTGTGTGCTGCTGCTGCAGGGTCGCTGGCTCTCTAGGTCCCCGGGCGGTGATCCAAAAGACAAATGTGTGCATTTTCACAAACAGAAGAAATAATCTCCTGATAGGAAGGAAGAGGAGAGTGGCGATCTCTGTTAATTTGCTTCTCAGATGGATTACCTGTCTACTATCCTGGACTTGTCCTTGCCAGGATGACCTTGCCTTTGAGAACTTGGGTTCACCAATGGAGTGCACTTCCCAGGCAGCTCAGGATCTGGGAATGTGTACAAGGATGAGAAATAACATTCACTTACTTTGAGTTTAATGCTACATTTACTGAGCATGAATTGTGTTGTGTTGATTTGGAATCGAAGAATTTAAAGTGGAGGAGATCATTATGGATATTTCCAGTCCTGCCTAATTTTTACGATTGAGGATACCGAGGCTTTTGTTGGCCCCTTCTCATGGCTTCAGCTGCCTTCTCTGTTGACTTCAGAAGAGTATCTCCAGCTCAGGCATGTGTCTGAGTCCTCTTCTTACTGAGCTCTCCTCTTAGTTATTTCAAACCACACAGTTCCACCTCTACAGTTCCCCGCGCCTCGCGGAGGCTGGTCTGGTTAATGGCAGACTTAGGTAGTTTTCTCCTGGACACGTTCATTAGGACATCTATCTGTTTTCCCACTACATCGAAAGCCTCCTGGCGAAGGATACCCTCCCTTTATCTCTGTTACTTACACTATGTCCAGCGTATGTGGGGTCCTCCCTCCAGATGTGCTAAGTAAGTAAGTGAATTGGTGCCAGGGCCAGACCCTCAGCTCCAGAGTCCTGGTTTGCATCCTTTATTCTTTCTACAGCTTAGTTTTCATAGAAGGTGCAGTATCATGTTATAACACCAGTGGAGGTACTGTGTGTACAAGAGTGTGTGTGTGTATATAGAGATTTTAAAAATATATATATTTTTATTGATTTCAGAGAGGAAGGGAGAGAAAGAGAGAGATAGAAACATCAATGATGAGAGAGAATCACTGATCAGCTGCCTCCTGCACACCCCACAAGGGATTGAACCAGAAACCCAGGCATGTGCCCTGACTGGGAATCGAACTGTGAACTCCTGGTTCATAGGTTGATACTCAACCACTGAGCCATGCCGGTTGGGCTGGATAGAGATTTTTAGAGAACTGGATAAACTCAAATTGGTGTGTGGTTGAGTAAAAGACTTCCACGCTTGGCATTTATTCTACTTTGAGGGGAAAAAGTGAAAAGTCAAACAACAAAGAGCCTCAGAGCAGCTCTTGCCTGCTCTGCTTACGCAGTGGTTCCCAACCTTCTGGCCCTTTAAATACAGTTCCTCATGTTGTGACCCAACCATGAAATTATTTTCGTTGCTACTTCATAACTGTAATGTTGCAACTGTTATGAATCGTAATGTAAATATCTGATATGCAGGATGGTCTTAGGCGACCCCTGGGAAAGGGTCTTTTGACCGCCAAAGGGGTCTCGACCCACAGGTTGAGAACCTCTGGGCCTTACAGGGACTCCACAGGATCAGTCTGGGGTTTCTGTCTCCTACTGTATTTTCTGTTAGATGGGCCTCCTGACTGTAGACTGTGTGCGACGTGTGTTCCAAAGTGAAGACTCAGTGCCATCCTGTTTTTTGTGATTTAGAATGGCGAATCCGGAAAAGAAATGGATGATGACAAAGACGCCAATAAATCTGAGATCAGCTTAGTGTTTGAAATTGCTCTGAAGCGAAATATGCCCGTCAGTTTCGAGGTATGTGCTCAGAGGAGAGCTTCCCACCCTCACCCCTGCTCCTCACTAACTCAGATAAGCATCCAGCTAAGTGAAGTGAGTGGGTATCCTCGTGTCCTGAAAGAGTGCGTGTGCTTCCTGTGCTCACACTCTGTCCGGCAATGATGTAGGCCCCGGGGAGAGAAGAACTTACGGAATGTCATGGGTTCCTGCATGTGCCTGACCAGGAATTGAACCGGCGACCTCTTGGTTCCTGGGTTGATGCTCAGCTGCTGAGCCACACTGGCCGGGCTCCTGCTTACCTCTTTCGCTTTTCCGTATTGAGCCATCTGTATATATCATATCTCAGTTTTCCTCGTAAAGTTTATTTTCTCATTGTAAGTTAATTTGTAGTACTCCAGAGGGTTCGGTGTTTAAAATAGGATCAAATTGAAAATATCCAAGTTAGTATTTAGTGACACATGCATTAATATCCAGTTTCTTCTGTACTTGCCAAAATATGTTTACATTTTACTAAGCCACTAAGTAAGCAGCTGTCTACTTTGCAACTAGATAAATAGGTGACAGAAATATGTATAAAATTGTGTGACATTAAAAATAGGAAAAAACATTTTCAATATTATAATTCCTTCTATATTAAGAGGTTTCTAATTTTGCAACTCAAATACCTAGAAAATAGGCAAAACCCAGGAAATAAGCTGACACGGTCGTGGAGTGTCCTCCTTCCAATTGGGGTGACGTTCAGCACTAGAAAGCTCCCACATTTAACTCACTAGCAGGGTCGACTGACCTTGGCTGAGAACCTGTTTGCTTTCTTCTCAGACACAATTCCTGCAAATGGGGCTGCCTGATGTCCGCCTGCAGCAGATGGAAAGCAGCGCCCTGGGGCAGGCAGGGGCAGAATGCACTGGAGGGCTTATTAGGCCCAGCAAGAAACGATAGGGACAGATGGAAAGCCAATCAAAGTAATTGCATAGACTTGGAAACTACAGTGGGGCCTTGACTTACGAGTGTCCTGACTAACGAGTTTTTCGAGATACGAGCTTTGAGTTGCGAGCTAAAATTCGGGTTACGAGCCAGCTTCAGATACCCCACCGCTAGTTGGCGCAGCGAACGTCACAGTGAATGCCACAACATCAGCCCAGCATCACGTGTCTCACTCATTCACTGTTGATTTGACATATGAGTAATTTGAGTTACGAGCTCCGTCACGGAACGAATTAAACTTGTAAGTCAAGGCCCCACTGTATTGGATTTGGGCCTTAAAGGCTACAGTGAATAGGGACAGTTTTATCAGTCTTAGAAGCCCTTGGCGGCATCAGTATACGTTACAGAATATTTGATGTTCAAATGGTGACCTCATGCCAGCAATAAAAGGTTAATAACTATTTGGTATTCTCTATTAAGTCAGTACAGCATATAGGTGTTTGTTGTTTATTTATTTTTTTTTACATTGTATTTTATTGTTGACAGTATTATAGTACAGTTGTCTCCCATTTTCTCCCTTTTGGCCCCACTTCGCCCACCCCCGCCTTCCCCATGCAATTGTCTGTGTCCATGGGTTGTGCATATATGCTCTTTGGTTAATTTCTACCTGTTCCCTTCCTCCCAACACCCCTCCCCCTTTCCCACTGGGATCTGTTATTTTGTTCCATGCATCCATACCTCTGGAACTATGTTGTGTGTTATTGTTTTTTTTAATTCAGGAGGATGGCCAGCAAAGTGGTTAAAATAAACAGTTTTGGTATTTCAACTAGTAAACTTAAATTACTTGGACAGCATGCTTATCGTAAGTTCCTTATCCCTAGCATTGTTGAATTACTGAACTATTGCTTTCTTTTCCTCATTGGCATCCAGTATTAAAAGACGAACTTTTAATATGCTGTTAAATAGGAAACTGTTTAACTCAGTAGGGTACCTTTTATAGCTTAAAACTGTGAAGGAGACGGAAGTTTTGAGCACTCAGGTTTGGGGAGGCATCTTTCCTCGAAAGTTGTCTTACTTTAAGTGAGCACATTGGTACAGGGTTTGGGAGCATCCACAGCTGACAGAGTCACAATCCATAACCCTAGGAAGCTAGGAGTTTTTATGGCATATCGACTAACCTTTTAAAGATCATGTCAGAGAGTAAACATTCCTTTCTATAAAACAGCCTTTGAAGGTTTATGTCAAAAATAGGTTATTTTTGAGTGGCTTCCCCATGCAGGATGCGGGATGGCTGGTAGAACTCTCTTAAGACGTGGTCCCCATCCTCCAGGAACGTACTCTTCCAGAGAAAATGCGATACCGTACACGTATCATTTTCAGTGCCCTGTGTACCTAATATAATGTGATGTGTTTTACGTTCTTAATTTTCTGTTCTATAAGAAATGAGTAATCATTGGAAGAAAATAGGAGATGTCTATAATACTATCAACATAAAACAAGATTTTAAAAAATACATATTTTTATTGATATCAGAGAGGAAGGGAGGAGAGAGAGATAAAAGCATCAATAATGAGAGAGAATCAGTGATTGGCTGCCTCCTGCACACCCCCTACTGGGTATCGAGCTTGCGACCCAAGCATGTGCCCTGACCCAAATTGAACCCTGACCTCCTGGTTCATAGGTCATCGCTCAACCACAAGCCATCCTGGCTGGGCTAAAATTATTTTTGAAAAGAAAAGATGGTAACCATAATGAGAATTGCCTGTTTTAAAATGGGTAAAAAATAATTTTGAGTGTGAATTGAATGTGTTTACTTAGATTTCTGTTCGCCCAACTTCAGTCTCTTACGCATTGTAAATATTGTAACTGAATAGTTCTTATATAATACCTTTCTAACAGGTTTATTAAAGAAACCTATAATTTTGGCATCATTCTTCATTTCTATTTTGATTATGATAGGAACATTAAGAAAGATCCATGCTATAAGGACACGTTCTGAGTGTGCCTGTATGTTATTTACTATTGTATTTTTACTTTATAGGTCATTAAAGAAAGCGGACCACCACATATGAAAAGCTTTGTTACTCGGGTGTCCGTGGGAGAGTTCTCTGCAGAAGGCGAGGGAAATAGCAAAAAGCTCTCCAAGAAGCGCGCTGCGACCACCGTCTTACAGGAGCTTAAGAAACTCCCACCTCTTCCTGTGGTTGAAAAGCCAAAACTATTTTTTAAAAAACGCCCTAAAACCATAGTCAAAGTAAGTGTGTGCTTATGAACATGAGTCAGTTTTACTGTGTGAATGTTCCGGTAACTATAGAGAAAAGTTTCCCCACAGGGCAGGCGTCTCAACCTATGGATTATAAACAGTCCCAGAGTCAGGGTTGGGCATGTGACTCTAAATCAGTTAACAATTGTGTTTTGCTTTTTAGACACTTGCATACCTGTGTTTGTTCATCCAATAATACCTTACATACGGACAGTTTTTTATGGCTCACAAAGTACTTTCTTGTTCATGATCACCTTTAGTATAGAATACTTTCTTGTTCATGATCACCTTTAATATAGAATACTTTCTTGTTCATGATCACCTTTAGTATAGAATACTTTAGTATAAAACACTTTCCCATCCGTGATCACCTTTAGTGTAATACTCATCAGGACTGTGTAAGGTAGAGGATGTTACCCCTAACACATCCAAAGCATTTGTTCACTTTTATTCACCTGTCGCGTGGAGTAACCTGAACTGCTCTGATCTCTGCACCACACTGCTGTACATAGTGTCTTCTTAGGACATCTGAAATGGGTAAGGATATGGGGGGGGGGCGATGAATAATGCCGACCTGTGACAGGAGCAGCAGCTAGTGAATGGGAAGCACTGTGTGTGTGCGGGACTTAGTATTTATTAATAATACAAATAATAAGCACTCAATAAGTATTAAATATTGTTATTTTATGTCTGATTCTGTCTGTTCACATGGTACCTTGGTTTTTAGCATTTTTGTCGCTTCCTCACATGTCTTATACATCTAGGGTCTACACTTCTTTTTTTTTTAAATATATTTTATTGATTTTTTACAGAGAGGAAGGGAGAGGGATAGAGAGTTAGAAACATCGATGAGTAAGAAACATCGATCAGCTGCCTCTTGCACACTCCCCACTGGGGATGTGCCCGCAACCAAGGTACATGCCCTTGACCGGAATCGAACCTGGGACCCTTCAGTCCGCAGGCCAATGCTCTATCCACTGAGCCAAACTGGTCAGGGCGGGTCTACACTTCTTTATACGCAATAGAAGTAGAGAAAATATCTGTGGATGAGTTGCCTTGATTTTTAAGACAGATAATAAAGCTGTCACGTTGTCTCATTGGATCCTCTCAGTCAGTCCATGATGTAGGTGCTATCCCTGTTTCGCAGACGAGGTCCTTGGTGTTTAAGAAGCTCACCCAAGATTCGGTAGCAGAGTCAGGGGTCAGGTCTAGTCACGTGACTGAAGAGCCCATTTGAAACTGGTTGCTTGGGAACTCCTTTTGAGTTACTCTGTAGAGTTAAAAACGTAAGACTCCCTGATGGTGTCTTTGGGCTTATATCCTGTTTTAATGTTTTCTTCTATAAGATGAGACTGCAAAGAAGGCTTTCTGATAAAAGTTTCTGTCCTTACTGGTTTGTAGAGTGACACTGTAAGAGCTGATAACCAAGGAATAACCTCATTGTCAAGGGTGCTGGTAGTTCATTTCAGTGAAGGGAAGAAACCAGTCACTCTTAGCTTTTTCAGAATGCCATTATTATCTAAGTGCATTTGTGCATCTGGTCCTTTGTCTTTGGAATCTGTATCAACAACAGTACCTCTGGCACGTAAGACATTCTGATGAAAGAGGCAAATTAAGCAAGAAGAGAGGCAAGGTGCCATTGAAGGACAGTCGTTTGAACATCTTCACGAACTAGGCCACCTCTTCTAACGCCAGACTTAAAGCTTCCCTTTACCTTTTCATTGGTATTCAATCTTAGACTCATAAATTATTGTCTATGTTTGTCTTTTCTCATCAGTCCTTCTGATTTACTTAATCTTTATTGTTTGGTATGTAAATAAAAGGGGAAACCAGGGTTTTACCCAAACTAAAAATTTCCCTTTTCTCTCTTCTCACGTTCCCCTAACCGTTGCAGTATTGTTGCCCTCATTTTCTCTCTTACCTCGCCCTGGGCGTCGTACTTCATACTCCCCAGGCTTCGATTCCGTCTTTATGTGGATGATTCTCAAATACTCTATTGTACTCTACCCTGCTGCCTGGACATCTTCACTTAATATTTCACAGGCCCCTCAAACTCCGTGTCCAAAACTCCATGTTCCCTTCTAAATCGCGTTCCCCTCCAGCATTCCTCATCAGTACCGGCACCCCGTGCAGCTGCTGAAACAGGCACCTGGGGTCCTTTCCTCTCCCCCACGCCTCAGGCCCAGTCCGTCATGCCCGACTGGGGCCATCCCTTACATAGTTCTTAAGTTGGTCCATTTCCTTCCACCCCTCTGCTCCCCTTTGGTCTAAGTCACAATCAACTCTCACCTGAACTAGTACAGTTGGTTTGAAATTGGCCTTCGTGCAAGTACTCTGGACATCAAATGGTCTTTTAAAAAGTGTTATCTTTTATTTATTTCTTTTTTCTTTTTGTTGAATTTACGGAGGTGACACTGGTTAACAAAATTATACAGGTTTCAGGTGTGAAATTCTACAACACATTATCTGTACACTGTATTTTCTGTTCACGACCCCAAGTCAAGTCTGTCCACTATCATTTATCCCCCCCACCCAGGCCCTCCTCCACCACTTCCACCTCCTCCCCCAGCAGTCACCACACTATTGTCTGTGTCCATGAGTTTAGTAGTACATGAGCCTTGTGAAGTGTTGTTCAAATCTTCTGCCCACCTAGAAAAATGTGAGTGCCCATTCAAAAAATTGATTTTTATAGACAGGAAGGGAGAGAGAGAGAAGGAGTGAGAGAGGGAGGGAAGGAAAAAAGGAGGAGAGAGAGAGAGCAAGAAATATCCATTTGTTGTTCCACTTAGTATGCATTCATTGGTTGATTCTTGTATGTGCCCTGACAGGGATCTAACCCACAACCTTGTTGCATCAGGACGATTCTCTAGCCAACTGAGCACCTGGCCAGGGCCTGGTTGTCCATTTAAAATAATACATTTAATAGTGAGTTTTGAGAAGTCTTTATATATTCTGGATACAAGTTCTTTATCAAATACACAGTTTGCAAATATTTTCTCCAAGCCTGTGATTTGCATTTTTTAAAGAACAGAGGTTAATAATTTCAAAGAAGTCCAATTTATTGTCATTGTTATTATTTTTATGGAATGTGATTTTTGGTGTTGTATCTAAGAAATTGTCATGCAACCCAAGTCACAAAAATTCCCCTTGTATGTTCTTCTGGAAGTTTTACAGTTTTAGATATTACATTTAAGTCTATGAGCCATTTTAAGTTAATTTTTGAAAACCCGACCAGTGTGGCTCAGTTGGTTGGGCATCGTCTTGTGCACTTGAGGGGTTGCTGGTTCAATTCCCAGTCGGGGTACATTCCTTGGGTTGTGAGCTTGATCCCTGGTCTGGGGGGGAGGGGGTTGGGGGTGGTAGGAGGTAGCCGATCAATAGTTTTCTTTCACATTGATGTTTTTCTCCCTCTTTCTTCCTCTCTCTCTAAAAATCAATTTACAAGTTTAAAAAAAATGGTATAAAGTACAGTTTGAAAAAAATTTTTTTTTTGCATATGAATTTCCACTTGTTCTAAATCCATTGGTTGAAAAGACTATCCTTTATCCACTGAATTGCTTTTGCACTTTTGTGGAAAACCAGATGACTGCATATGTGTGGATCTGTTTCTGGACACTCTTCTGTTTCATTGGTCTGTCTTTATGCTGATTGTACACATACTGTCTTTGTTGTCATAGCTTTGTAGTGAATTTGAAATCAGAGAGTTTGAGTCCTCCAACTTTGTTCTTTTATCAGAGTTGTTTTGGTTATTTGTCTTGTCCGTTGCCATATGAACTTTAGCATTGGCTTATTAATTGTTACCAAAAAAAGCCTGCTGGGATTTTGATTGGGAATGCAATGACTTGAGAGATCAGTTTGAGGAAAATTAACATTTTTAACAATATTGAGTCTTGTGACCTGTGAGCATGTCTGTCCATTTATTAAAATCTTACTTAATCTCAGCAGTGTTTTGTAGTTTTAGTGGGTTTTACATAAATTACATCATACTATATGTATTCTATGTTTGCTTTTCTCCCTCAACATCCATCTTTTTTCTCCTGAAATTCATTTATCTTGATGCATGTAGCAATACTTAGTTCATTGTCCCTGCCCTATGTCAAACCATTCTATGAACATACCATTGTATGAACATGCTATAATCTACATAGTTCTTTTGATGAATGTCTAGGTTGTTTTCAGGTTTTTGTTTGTTTTGTTTTGCTATTTCAAATAATGCAGCCATGGCTATTCCTGAACATTGGAGCTAGCACCTATGGGCAGCTGTTTTCTAGGGTATTTAGTACATGATGATGAAGATGCTACTAGGGAGTGCAGGGGCCGTCTTTGGCTTTACTACACATTGCCCAGTTGTTTTCCATTTGATATTACCGTTATCATGGCATAAGCTTCTGTTACTCCCCATCCTCACCATTTGGGCTGTCAGGCTTCTGAATTTTTTCTAAATTAATGGGTGTGAAATAGCATCTCACTGTGAATTTAATATACATTTTTGAGTCCTAATGAGATTGATTATATTTTTATAAGTGTTCCATCTGTTAAATATCTTTTCATGTCTTTTGCCCATTTTTCTTTTAGATTGTATTTTTCTTAATACTTTTTCTGAGCTTTAAAAAATATATTTTGGCTACCGGATTTATCTTTTTTAGTTACAGGTATTGCAAATATCTCTTCCCAGTTCATTTCTTGTGATCTTCTATTCTTTTGGTCTTTCTTGATGAACAGAAGTGTGAAGAAGCTGTACTGAAGAATTTAAAAGCAGAATAGTTGACCCAATTTATTAGTATCCCTGAGCCCTAAATCCCATACACGCCTTAGTCTCAGATCTGTTTTATGCTTTTCCTTCATAAATCTTTATAAATGACTCTCATTTATCTTCTCCAGTCACGGTTTTGGGGTGTAGGGGAGGAGAGGAGAACCACTTTAAGGATCCAATAACAGGTTTTACAAGCATGTTTTGACATTTTTCTTACATTGTGTTTTAGGCTGGACCAGAATATGGTCAAGGAATGAACCCCATTAGCCGCCTGGCTCAAATTCAACAGGCCAAGAAGGAAAAGGAGCCAGACTATGTTTTGCTTTCGGAGAGAGGAATGCCGCGACGTCGGGAGTTCGTGATGCAGGTATTTCTAACTTTTATACGAGATGAGTTTTTTTTAACTATTGAAAAAAAATCTAGAAATCCTCAGGTCGGAGTAGAGATACGGGGGAAAGGCCGGCTAGGAATTCATAGCACTATTAATTAATGGCACTGTTTACCCTTCCAGCATTGATTCCCTCAACTTGGTTGACACATTCAAGCGTCAGGGACATGTTAGAACAGACAGAAGAGTTTTGAAGGGACTGAGTTCACACAGGTTGTTTGGCCCAGAGCGTATCAAACAGAAGGCTCGTCTCTGTCTTACTGTGGTACAGTGTGCAGCCAGAGCCTGTTAACTACTGGGACGAGGAGACAGACAGATTAGAAACAAAATTGAGAAGGATGTATGGAGATGGAACAGGGCCAAGAGCATGAACTTTGGGTTTGCAGGAAAATTAGGAAAAGAGAGAGCTGGCTGTCTCCCTAATCACGGTGAGGACGGAGGGACTCAGAATTGCTGAGAGGCTGAACTGCGGTGTTGTGCAGCCCCGGAAACTGGAGAGGGGTTGCTCGTGGATTGACAGATGGGCGGGCACTAGCAAAATGCCCTCCTCCTTTCAGATCTCATCTGCGCCTCTTCACTTGTCCGCTCAAGCCCCAGTGTTGAAGAAACGTTTAATTTTTTATTAGGAAAGTTTCAAACCTACCCGAGGGTGGGTATATTCAATAGCGTACCGTGAAGAGCAGTGTGCTGGCCTGCTGGGGAATATGCCCGCCATGCAGACACGGCCGTTCACATTCTTACCAAACTTGCTTCAGCCGTTCATTTTCCTTTCCTTCCTCCCGCCCTTCTTTCATTTCCTGAAGAATTTCAAAGCTGATTTCTAACTGTATGTCCTTTCAGCCCACATATTTATTTTTTTAGATGTATTTTTACTGATTTCAGAGAGGAGGGGAGAAGGGGAGAGGGAGAGAAACATCAGTGATGAGAGAGAATCATTGATCGGCTGCCTCCCACATGCCCCACACTGGCAGGCGAGCCCACAACTCAGGCATGTGCCCTGACCGGGAATCGAACTGTGACCACCTGGTTCATAGGTTGACTCCAACCACTGAACCACACCAGCCAGGAAGCCTACATATTTAGTATGTATCTCTAAAAAAAAAGTACGTTTTCTTTCATTAGCCCTGATTCATAAGAATCTTCTAATGACCAGTCTATATTTAAATTATCCTTATTGTCCCCAAACTGTTTTTGTTGTAATTGGCTTGTCAGAGAAACTTTTTTCCAATCAAACCCATGGACCTCACCTTCAATATAATCCTGTTAAAATGAACAGATATTTATGCAGTGATGACCATATAGGAAAAATTTTGATACTCAAGCATAGTCTGTCATGTTGATGCACTTTTCATGCATATCTACATTTTACCTTCCTGCCTAATTTATAGTCTTTATCTCACAGTATTCAATGCAGTGGTCTGTATACAGTACAGACCTTTGATGCATACTTGCTGCCTGCCTGTGTGAGAGCTAGTGTATTTGGCTGTTGCTGGAGATGTAAGCTTGTGATGTGGTCACTGATAAACCACTGTGGGAACGCAGACAACCACGGAGGGGAATTCGTCTCTGGTTAGTAAGCCATTATGGTCTAGTGTCCTTAGGACCCAGAACAGTGCTGTTCTAGCGTCCTCTTCTTAAGATACATGCACCAGTTTTTTCTTTTTACATTCTTAGCTCTGAAGAATTCTAGAAAGTATTCTTTGAACTGCAAAACTTGAAGGGAAAAAAAAGTCACCTAAATTTTAGACCTGTATTAGGAATAAAAACTGGCTTTGGCTCTATTACACAATTCCTTTCCTATGGAGTATATGGAGTACCCTTTTGAAAGAGGAATTTACGCCAGCTTCCTTTTTATGGGTCTTCATAAACATTCTAGTCAAATGGGAGCATTTGGCTCGGCTTTTACATGTTTTCACACTGAATTCATATTGCTTTTCCCCTCGGGAAGCCCCAGTGGATTCATTATCTATTGCAGCAACTTTATCAAAGTAAATACTTTTGTATAAACAACTTAAGCGATGTTATCATTTGTTAAAATTGAACATGGAAGTAAAATATCTAGAGATAACATGCTAATATTTATTTATCACCACGAAAAGTAAATTTGTGTGTTGTGAAATGTGTGCAGTGACTTTATTGATTGCTAGACAAAAGAAAATCTCTGACGACATTATTTGGGTGTTAGTTCCTGAGCACATTTCTTAAAGCTTTTTATTTTTTTGTAGAGATACTTTAATTTTTCAAAGAGAAAAATAATGATAACTAAAAACTAATTTGCTTATCAGCACATGGTATTTTGATATATCACATAATGTTAATTTTTCTATTTGTGACTAAGATCTCTAGGTTTTTAAAAATATATAAAGCAAATTTCATCAATTTTATTTGTGACTCAGTGAGAGAAAAGGAGTTAAGTTTTGGGTAAATGCCACTTTAGGACTTTTTAAAAAAATATATTTTTATTGATTTTAGAGAAGAAGGGGGAGGGAGAGAGGGAGGGAGGGAGGGAGGGAGAGAGAGAGAGAGAGAAACATCAATGATGAGAGAGAATCATTGATTGGCTGCCTCCTACATGCCCCCTACTGGGGATTCAGCTGCAACCTGAGCATGTGCCCTTGACCAGAATCGAACCTGGGACCCTTCAGTCCACAGGCCTATCCACTGAGTCAAACCAGCTAGGGCCTATTTTAGAACTTTTTTGTTAGGTTTTTGAGGATTTGATTTATTTAAATTATTTTTTAAAACAGTCTTCAGTCTTAATTTTATTGCATAGCAAAATTGAACTTTTTTGCAGAAAAAGTAACATTTTAATATAAAAATCTTATTTATAATAGTTACAAAAATTTGTTAGCTTTCTAGGAAGATGACTTACAAAGTTTATTATATATTCGCTTGACTTTTATATAGAAGTGATTTTTTTTTTTAAGTGACTGTTGTTAGGGAATTAAAGTCCTTCAGCACAGCCGTCTTTTTTACTTTTATCCTTTTATTAATTTAATTTTTTACAGCAGTCTTATTTAATACTAACAAATAACTTAGGGTAGCTGCTCACAAACTATTGAACCCCGTCGCTACAAGAACTTGTGTGAGACAAGGGGTGGGTGAATGGGTAAAATGACTCTGGCAGCATCTGTTCTAGAAGGAAGTCTTGAAGGCATCAGAGTAGGTCAGAAGCAAAGCTGACAGACAGAGATCCAAGGTGAGTGCCAGGGAGGGAGCAGCATGTCCCAGAGCAGGGCCTGGAGCCAGAGAGCAGGCCGGGTGGGTAAGTGAGAAGCAGGGATGAACCGCAGAAGAACTGAATCAGAGTGAGGGATGTGTACACAGCATGTGACGACAGGCGAAGCATGTTTTGCTGCTCATTGATTTTTTGCTTCCATTTCCGTTGGCCAGTCTTTGGACACTCAGAGCAGTACGAGGAAGCTTCTTACGTAGCTGGCCTATCTTGTAGCTAGCAAGCACTCCAACATGAATTTTAGCCCTAGTTTATTAATTTAAATAAAGAATACTAACTGTACTGAGAGCCAACATATACTCTATTATGTGAATTTTATTTTTCTGTTTATATAAATAATGCAGGTTTATTGTTTTAAAAAATGAAATAATACAGAAATATGTAAGGAAGTAAAAATCTTCTAAGATTCTGTTATCCTAAGATAACTTCCATTGACATTTTGAGAACCATATTTTTCTCCATGTTTATTTTCACTTATCTATATAACAAATAAATGGGATCTTATCTTAGTTGTTTTTATTATGGACTGAACTTTGTATTTTTGAATGCTACAGAGCAGAATACAGTGCTTTGTGGTGTTAAGTCGAGCCTGTTTATCAAAGCAACTCTTACTAATTTCTTACTTTAATCTTATCAGGTCAAGGTAGGCAATGAAGTTGCTACTGGAACAGGACCGAATAAAAAGATAGCCAAAAAGAATGCCGCCGAAGCAATGCTGTTACAACTCGGTTATAAAGCATCCACTAGTCTTCAAGATCAACTTGACAAGGTGAGCGCTAAGTTCACATGTACAGTCCTGTTCTGTCAGAATATCAAAGTGATGAACAAATTCCGTACCAGTGTTCCTTGACTCTAAGTAATGTCGGAAGTGGTGTTAATGTAGACCTCCAGTTTTAACTTTCCTAAGGCAGTACTCTCCAACTTAGAAGATAGATTCCCAGTTACAATATCACATCTGTTTATGGTGTCAACATGAAGTCTTAATTCTAATCTTACAGTTAGCAAATACTAAAAATCTGTTGTGTGGCTGTATGTATTTTGTATAATACCAACTGAGTCATTTTCAGCTTCTTGACTCCTGGGTTTTGCCATGTAGACAGTTTTAATTTGTGCCCCATTTTTAAGAACCGAGGTTGTTGGCTTTTATTTCTGAAATGCAGCTGAAAACACTGGAAATAAAGATCCTGAGTTATCCCTTTAGGGCAGGAACTATATTGGACAGACACTCTATAAACTAGTTTTTCTATTTACTTTAAATGTAAAGGTAAACTCAGAGGGTGTTTGTTTTCTGCCAAGACTTGTGTTCATGGTCCCCTATTTCTTCTGCGCAGTGAATGACATCATTAGCACCTGCCCCTGTTGCAAGGGAGGTAGGGGACCCTGAATTCAGGACTTGGCAGATAACTTGGCAAGAACTGGCTTGATTTCATTTTATCTTTGCATGTGTAGAAATTATTATGGACACTTTGTTTATACAAAAATTCACAAAGCAGGCTTAATAATAATTTCTATCAAAAACAGCATACTTTTCCCCACACCATTTTCTCGCATAAGGATTCTGTTTCAGAGAAATTTCAGTTTCTGCAGAAACACACGCCTGAAGTCTGAATAGAAACAGAATCGTCTATTAAACATTTAGGTGTACTTGTCTTTTTAAGGCAACTGTGAATATGTGGGCAATTATTTTGAGCGATTAAAAAATTATTTGTCTGTGTGGTATCGCTAGAGATTTTAATTCTGTTTTTATAACCTGGGTAGTCCATGCTTTTTCTTCCTTTAAAAATATTTGTAACATGAAACCTAACATGTGTTCAAGTTTCTATAGTTCTTATGTTGTGTATATGTTGTTTTAACTTAACACATTTATATTTACTTAAACCTGGTGAGTGATTTATAAAAATATGTCAAAATAAATCTCAGACATTTATTTGGAAGTTAAGTAAAAACAAAACAGAACAAAAACCAGCATGAATGCCATTATTTTAAGAAACATTTTTTTGCATACCTACTGTAGTATTAGTCAGGTTCTCCAGAGACATAGAGCCAACAGGATATGTGCCTGTATATACTTGTGTACATGCGTGTATGCACACACATGTATGTACATACATGTAGATATGCACCACACATGGAGACCCATTGTAAGGAATTGCCATGCCTTGTTGGAGGCTTGGCGAGTACAACGTCTGATGGGGAGGCTGGTTCTGCTGGAGACTCGGAAGGTGTTGCAATTCCAATGCAGAGGCGTCTGCTGGCGAGTTCCCTCCTGTTCCCGGGAGGCAAGCCTTTCTTTCGATGAGACCCACCCACAGGATGAGGAGCAATCTGCTTCCCTCAGAGTTCAATTCTTTTAAATGTAAGTCTCTCCCGAACACCCTCCCAGAAGCACCCAGGATAATGTTGGACCAAGTACCTGGGTACTGTAGCCCAGACAAGTTGATACATAAAATTAACCATCACACCCACTACATGCCAGATACTTCCAACCGAAGACACGATGCCTGAATCTTGGTCCCTGCACTCAGGGAACTGATCAGCACGTGTAGGGGTGAGGAGCTTTAGTCACGGAACAAACATTACAGTGTCCTGGAACCTAGAGAACACGAAGCACCCAGGATAATGTTGGACCAAGTACCTGGGTACTGTAGCCCAGACAAGTTGATACATAAAATTAACCATCACACCCACTACATGCCAGATACTTCCAACCGAAGACACGATGCCTGAAACTTGGTCCCTGCACTCAGGGAACCGATCAGCACGTGTAGGGGTGAGGAGCTTTAGTCATGGAACAAACATTACAGCGTCCTGGAACCTAGAGAACACAAAGATGAATCTGGAAAGTCAGGAATAGCCGAAGCCACTGTTTTCATGGGAAGTAAAGCTCTTGGAGAATTGTTCATGTAAGATTTGAACATGAAAGTCACATGACCTAGTTTGTATTCTTCAAAAGACAATCCTATAAGCCTTAGCCAGTGTGACTCAGTGGTTGAGCATTGACCTATGAATCAGGAGGTCACGGTTCAATTCCCAGTCAGGGCACATGCCCAGGTTTGGGGCTCCATCCCCAGTACGGGGTGTGCAGGAGGCAGCTGATCAATGATTCTTTCTCATCGTTGATGTTTCTATTTCTCTCTCTTTCTCTCTCCCTTCCTCTCTGAAATAAAAATAAAATTAAAAAAGACAATCCTATAAATAAAGGAGTGAATGGATTTGGGCAGGCTGAGTAACAGAATTGCTAGGTTAAGAGGTACTGGGGGTCTGAACTAAGGCAGTGGTGGTGGAGAGGAGGGGATAGGCACCAGAGGTATTTTTTAAAAAGAATATATTTTATTGATTTTTTTACAGAGAGGAAGGGAGAGGGATAGAGAGTTAGAAACATCGATCAGCTGCCTCCTGCACACCCCCTACTGGGGATGTGCCCGCAACCAAGGTACATGCCCTTGACTGGAATCGAACCTGGGACCCTTCAGTCTGCAGGCCGATGCTCTATCCACTGAGCCAAACCGGTTAGGGTGGCACCAGAGGTATTTTTGAAGTGTCTGAGGTAGACTTCAGTGGCAGGTAACATGCCTGAGACATGGGAAGAGGGAGGAGTAGAGAATGACTAGGAAAGAGTTGGCACCATTAGCCAGAAATTCCCTTTTGCCTAACTCCCGTGTTGCCTGTTTTCTGGACAGTTTTCTTTGGTCTTTATTTACTTCCCTGTTTTGATGGAGCACATACTCTCAGTAGCCTTCTGATGAATATATGAGAAATATTTTGAGATCTCATAGGTCTGAAGTACCTTTACATTCCCTACATGCTTGGTTTGCAGTTTTTCTGAGATATAATTCTAAAATGGGAATGATTTTGTCACAGGCTTTTGAAGGCATTGCACCAATGTTTTCTACCTCCCAGCATCACTCTTGAAACCCCACTGCCTTCTGATTCTGCAGCCTGTATATGAAACTTCTACGTTTCTTCTCCTCCCTCTTGATGTCTTTCCAGTTTTTCTTCTCCCAGGGGCTCTGAAATTTTATGGATGATATGTGCATATTCTTTAATAAAGTGTTTTGACTGTTTGGGTTTCAATCTAGAAATGCATATAATTTTAAACTGGGAAGTTTCTCATATTATGTCTGATAATTTCTTTCCATTTTTGCTATTATTTCCTTCTGTGATATCTGTTAGTCTTATGCAGGGGTCCTCAAACTACAGCCCGCGGGCCACATGCAAATACAAATATTGTATTTGTTCCCGTTTTGTTTTTTTACTTCAAAATAAGATATGTGTAGTGTGCATAGGAATTTGTTCATAGTTTTTTATTAAATTATAGTCCGGCCCTCCAACGGTCTGAGGGCCAGTGAACTGGCCCCCTGTTTAAAAAGTTTGAGGACCCCTGGTTATGGATGACCTTCTGATCCCTCCCTCCCTCTCTCCTTCCCTCCCTCTCCCTTTTTCCCTCCCTCCCTTCCTCCCTCTTTTCTATTTCTATATCATTTGTTCTATTTTCTAGATTTCATCGATTTTGTCTTCTGCCCTCCTTTGACATCTTTTACTTTGGCTCTTATATTTTTGATGTCCCAGAGCTCTTCCTCATTTCTAGAATATTTCTTTTTATAGCCTCCTCTTCTTGTTTAATGGGTATAATAACCTTTCATGTCTCTGAGGATTTTTTAAACCTTTTTTTTGAAGTTTTAGTCTCTTCCCTGTATTTTTTTTGCCATTCCTTTTGAGTTAGAAGCCTGGCAGCTGTCTTCTAAGGCCCAAATGAGGAAGGGAGCTGGTGATCTTACTTTCTGGGATGTAACCTCAGTCTCCATCTCTTTATCTTCCCTGTTGGGGTATCCATTTCACCCCCATCCGTGTCTCTGTTTTAGCCTAAGAGAAACCCTGTAGGAAATCTGCTTGGGGTTAGTGAGATGACCTGGAGATTTCATAGGCCTTGAACGACTTCCAACAATCCTGTTTTCAGGCCAGTTGGGTGTCTTCCCTGTGCACCGAAAGGTCCCAGGTTGGATCCCGGTAGGGGGGATGCAGGAGGCAGCCGATTGAGGTTCAGCTCTCACATTGATGCTTCTCTTTCTCCCTCTCCCTTCCTCTCTCTCTGAAAATAAATTAAAAATATTTTTAAAAAAGAGGTAGCTGGTGTGCTCCTAATTCTAGAGGCTTCCTGGGGTCCCGCGTTACCCATCAGTGTCCTTTCTGAGAGCTCTTTGCTGGCTCCTCCCTCTGCAGGTTTGCCGTCAGCCTCCTGACATCTGCTACGTTAGGTACAGCCTGATCACCTGCCTTCCAGGTTCCAGACTTCGACCTTCCTCTCCTTTCATAGTCTTGGGGCAGGGGGTGGAGACAAGAGAGGGAGAGAGAATTATAGGTTATTGGATTATTGATTTAGGGATGTTTTGAGAGAGAGATTCCTCCTTATGTTCACTGTGTTGTGTTTTGTTTGGTTTGTTTTTTGCTGCAAAAATCTTTATTGTTTCCATTTGGTCCAGTGCATGGGGGAGGGCTCCAGGGTGGTTAAAAGAATTGCCCGGGGTTTTGGCGAGAGGCTCAGGCAAAAGTGTCATCATAGTGTCATTAGGAGGGGATGGAGATAAAGGTGTGTTTGATCATCCATGTTTTTGAAACGTCTGCATTTTCTCTTTGGACTGAGAAGTACTGCCCTCATCCTGGTTATAAAGGCAGCTTTCTCAGGAAAAGTATAGAGTGGACAGATGTATCATTTATGGAGGAAAAAGGGCAGATGATAAACTTTTGTGTGTTTATTTTGTGTATTGTGTGCTCTGTGTTTGAGGCAAGCTGTAGGGACCTCTACACAACCCTATTCCTTGCACCTCCTTGAGCCGAACTCTGCTCTTCACTATGGGGAGGCAGGTACACTGGTCAACAATGCTCCGGTTTGTATCTTTAAATATATTTTTATTGATTTCAGAGAGGAAGGGAGAGGGAGAGAGAGATAGAAACATCAATGATGAGAGAGAATCATTGATTGGCTGCCTCCTGCACACCCTCTACTCAGAATTGAGCCCGTAACTCGGGCATGAGTCCTTGACTGGAATAGAGCCTGGGATCTTCAGCCCGTAGGCTGATGCTCTATCCACTGAGCAAAACCAGCCAGGACAGTTTTGCATCTTTAAGAGATGCTCAGCACCCATGCGCTTCTTCTCTGCCAGCTCACGGAAGAAGTGGCCCACGCCCTTGAGAGCCACATCGTCGGGGTGGAAATAGAAGCCCAGAGGGAGGGAGGTGTGGGCGGCCACAGATGCAGGCTGGCCAGGCAGCAGGCGGCAGCCTCCACCTGGGTGGAATAATGCTGACGAATTTGGGAGCTCGTGGTTGTTCATCAGTAAGGAGTTAAGGTAGAAAAACACAGGGTGTGTTGGCTGGTCTTGGAGGGGGTCTGAGGGGGTGACTGGATAAGACCCAGGAGAGTGGTCGAGGCTGTAGGAAGGGGTGTCCCTGGGCGTGTTCCGTCCAAACACTGTTGAAGCAAGAGACAGACCCGGGACCGCCCAGGGCACTGTGGTCACTGTTGTGTTTAAGTCTAAACCTTACAAAAACAGTTTCATTAGAGTGTTGGAGTAGAAATGAGAGAACAGTAGACTTGGTATTCAGTTGAAGGTGAAAAACTAGGCGTAGGGAATATAATCTAATATTTAAATAACCTTTGTTATTAGTAGAAGGAGAGAAATTAAGAAAGGTGGCATGGCCCTGGCTAGGTAACTCAGTTGGTTGGCAGCGGTCGCCAACCGGTAGTCCGCGGACCACTGGGTCCGTGAGGTCCGCAAGGTTGGCGACTGCTGGGTTGGAGCGTCGTCTGTGCCCTAGAAGGTTGCTGGTTTGATTCCCGGTCAGGGCACATACCTAGGTTGTGGGTTCCATCTCCAATCTGGGCATATATGGGAGGCAACTGGTTGATGTATCTCTCTCTCACATCGATGTTTTTTTTTCTCTCCTGTCCTCTCTCCCTTTCTGAGATCAAATTTTAAAAAAAAGCAAGCAAGAAAGCTTGCATGAAGTGCTAAATTTATTATCACCACCTTTTTAAATAATATATATATATTTTATTGATTTTTTTAAAGAGAGGAAGGGAGAGGAATAGAGAGTTAGAAACATCAGTGAGAGAGAAACAATCAGCTGCCTCCTGCACACCCCGTACTGGGGATGTGCCCGCAACCAAGGTACATGCCCTTGACCGGAATCGAACCTGGGACCCTTAAGTCCGAAGGCCGATGCTCTATCCACTGAGCCAAACCGGTTACGGCATCACCACCTTTAACCGGGCCCTCAAATGTCTGAGAGTCTGCATTCTTCCAATCAGCCGGTTCCTTACTTCCTGAAGTGACTTACTCCCTACTGTAGACACTTTCCTCCAACTTCCCACTCCCCTCCATCAGCGGCCCTTGTCTCGCACTTCACAGAGAGCAGAGAAGTGGGAGTCTCCCAGCCTCCCCACCAGCATACACCGCATTTTTACGCACATGTACTCCTCCTCCATCCTCTTACAGTGGCAAGCTATGTATTTTTATTTATATCCAGATTTAATGTATCCATTTGATCTTTGACATCAGACAGCAAGTATAAAATGCTGATTAGAATAGCAAATGTGCCTTTTCTCTCCCGGAGTACCTGGTACCAACAACGCCAGCTCCACAGAAAAGAACAACCTGTTCATGTCACTGATTAATTTGATGAAATACTACTTCAGACTCTGAGTTTATACCAAATATATGTCACATCGTCTGGCGACAGTCAGGATATTACAAGTTTTACTCCAAGTTAGGGCTTAGTTTTCAATTTTTTGTGTATGTCATTGGCAGTATTTTGGTGATACTGTCCTAGGACTGTTCCGGAACAGACATAGTAATATTTCTATTGTGGTTTGACCTCAGGAGAGATAAAGAAGCTCCTTTAGTCTCTTTAGCACTTGTCATGATGATTATTGTTTATTTGGTAAGGATTGTTTTACTTTTTAGCCACCTAGATAGAGCTGCTGTTGTATATAATGCACTGAACATGGCTTTCTTGATGACTTAAATTGTAAGTGTGGGTGAAGATAAAGGCAGAGCCAGACATAAGAAACAGGCTTGAATGTAGAAAAGGGGTGGATAATGCTGTTCCAGTTAGTTCCTCTTGGAGGGAATCACAGAACGACTGTGTGAGAGACCTTTGGCCTTGCTTCATTGATGACTTAACATTTTTCTTTTGGAATGAGTCCGTCTCTCTGGATTTTAACGATTGATTTAATCTTTCAGACAGGGGAAAACAAAGGATGGAGTGGTCCGAAGGCTGGTTTTCCCGAACCAACCAATAACAGTAAGTTTTCACTTTTATGCTAACTACGCTGAGTGTTAGTCACTGGTTCGGTGACTCGTAGGTCACTGGGTATTTATCGGGTCTGTCTGGGCTCACCATGCCATGATTAGTGTTGCAGGGGGGATACGAGGAAGTCGTGCTGTTTGCTTTTCTGGAATTGCTAGAAGACACAGGCGCTCATATTCTTAACGTGGTTAAGCATTGCAGACGGTGTACCATTTAACTCATAGTGCTGATATTTTAAGTTGTTTTATTGCAGCATAATTATAGTATGAAAGAATTAAAAAAAAGAAAAACAATTATCTACAAGCTTATTATACTCTAAAATCAGCTGTTTTCAAAGTTGTAATTTTTTTTAGGTAAACACAAATTTTTACATAATTGTAATTTTTTATGTGAAAAATTTATTCACTTTTATTAATTAAACTAGATTAAGTCCACACAAATGGCAAAATCCACTGTATGATCCTTGTTCAAAATACAGATTACAAGCATTTAGAGCAGCGGTCACCAACCTTTCAGACCTCACGGACCACCAGTGGTCCGCAGACCACCGGTTGGCGACCGCTGATTTGGAGTGTTCCTGTTCTGATATAATGACCTGAGGGCTGTGCTAGTCATGGTTTTCAAGACTGAGGATAATTATTTAGTAAAATGAATGTACAATAATTTTACATCTTTTTAGGGAAGAGTTTGCTCTACTCTTTCTTAGATCTCTGTGAAGAGTTCTTTATTTCCACCACATCAAATAGTATTTATGATTTTGTATTGCTAATGTGAAGGTACATCAGGATTTTAAGAACAGTTGTTAACAATTAAAGAACAATTGTTAAGACTATTTAGTAATTAAAATCAGAATGTTTCCCTGTCTTACTTTAATGCGAAGAATGATGCCCTAAACACTCACTTCGTGGTGACTTAAGTTCTAAGTCAGTCACAACCATATCTCCGTTTAGATCTTCCTCATGCATTGTGGGAAAGTAGATATGGATGATAGATTTCATCTGTAACATAAATGAAAGTTTGTACTGTGTTGTTTTCATTTAACATTGCAATAAGCATTTTCCACCTTGTGCTGAGTCATTAGAATTTTTAATAAGTCACTGATTGAATTATCAGAAATGCAAGAATACAATTGCTCATAATTGCCTTCTAATTATAGTATTATCATATGCTTAGAAATCCACTTCAGTTTATTTATGTGATCAGGCTATTATGCATTGCAAACAGAGACATTTATCTTTAACTTCCTCCTCACCTCTCCTAAAGAGCATCTATTTCCACTGAAGTGACCATTTTACTATAAATCAGTAAAACAAAACACCAGCCAATGAAGACCCTATTGAAGGGAAGGGCCAGTGGAGTCAAACCATCTCGTTTCCAACCCTAGTTTTCTCCCTTATAACCTCTGGATAAGGTTACAAACGACAATGTGTAAATTGTCATAGTTTATTCTTTGATGTTAGACAGGGGTGGGCAAACTTTTTGACTCGAGGGCCACAATGGGTTCTTAAACTGGACCAGAGGGCCGGAACAAAAGCATGGATGGAGTGTTTGTGTGAACTAATATAAATTCAAAGTAAACATCATTACATAAAAGGGTACGGTCTTTTTTTTTTTTTTTTTTTTTTAGTTTTATTCATTTCAAACGGGCTGAATCCGGCCCTCGGGCCGTAGTTTGCCCACGGCTGAAGCAGCTCATCTCTTGATGTATAATGAAATTAGTAACAAACTCATCAAAACATGCTTATAAGAACTGAATTTTTGGGTCATCAAAACTAGCTTCTTGAAAAGAATATTTCAGTGATGTAATGGTATTCATGAGTTATTTTCTGGGAATACTTGAAGTAATTTAATAGGACTCTGAGCCTTTGATCTATATGTATAAGGATGATGGATGTGATAGCTTAGCATGTACCCCAAAGAAAAAATGGAATGAGTTCAGGATTCTCAGAGAGTTTAATTCCTTTGATGTTTGAATATATAGGTTTATAATTACTTGGTAAGGCAATGTAAGAAGCATTAAGTTGATTTTACTTTTTTAAAAATATATTTTTTATTTTTTATTGATTTCAGAGAGGAAAGGAGAGGGAGAGAGAGATAGAAACATCAATGATGAGAGAGAATCATTGATTGGCTGCCTCCTGCACGCCCCACACTGGGGATTGAGCCCACAACCCAGGCATTGCCCCTGACTGAATCGAACCCGAGACCCTTCAGTCTCCAGGCCGGTGCTCTATCCACTGAGCCAAACCGGCTAGGGCGAAAGAAACTCTTTTACCAGAGGGTGGGGAAATAGCCAACCAGAGCCCCTTTTAGCCTTCTTGTCTCATCAATGCAGGGAGAGGAACTGAAAAGTACTTGTTAAAAGTCACAGCCAAGGGACACAGGCTCACTAACACACTGAGACCTAATGATAGGACTAGAAAGCATCTCCTCTCCCACAAGTCATTACATCAATAGAGCTTTTATAACACAACAGGGAAATACAACTGAAAGAACTGCATGTCTCAGACTATATTTAAATATAAGTCCCTAGAGAAACCCAAAGACAATAGAGCAGTGGTTCTCAACCTTCCTAATGCCGCGACCCTTTAATACAGTTCCTCATGTTGTGGTGACCCCCAATTTCATTGTTACAAATTGAACATAATTAAAGCATAGTGATTAATCACAAAAACAATATGTAATTATATATGTGTTTTCCGATGGTCTTAGGCGACCCCTGTGAAAGG